CTCCAGCCCCTCGACGTCCTTCTTGGAGTGAGGAGCCCAAAACTGAACACGGTATTCGAGGTGCGGCCTCACCAGTGCCGAGTACAGGGGCACAATCATGCAAGCTTTTGGGCAGGATGGAGCCCCAGACTGGCACCGTCCAATGCTGAGTGACACCCATGTCCTTGGCCATCCCCAAGACCAACATCCCACCGTGTGGCGTCACCCTCAGCCGTGGCCTTTTCCCAGAAGAGGCTGGGGAAGGAGAAAGCTATTCCTGCTTTCTGCCACAGCAGCTGTAATTTAAACGCAGGGGCTTTTTTTATTTATTTAACTCCCACCCTCTCCGAGAGAGGTTTGCAGCCAGCAAATCAATTCGGCTGATTAGAGCTAATGGATTTTACTTGACGTAAGCGATTAAATTATTTCCATAGCTGATTCCTGAAAGTGAATGAGCGGCCATGCTTCGGGATTTATATACGACTCTGTATTTCACCGCAGGAGACGCTAAGCAATTTTTTTTCATTCTGCAGCTTCTAACTCCATCCAGGTCTGCCTGGTATCTGCAGAGCAGCGAAGAGTGTCCTGACGCTGCAAAACCTCACGGAGCAGTTCTGCCCGTGTCTTTTCTTACCCAAAAAAAAAAAAAAAATGGGTAGCGCGTGACCGAGCATTTTCGTGCGAGACGAGCCCAGGCTCGTTGCAGATGAGGGAAGCTCAGGGAAAGGTTCAAAACCACTTCGTGCACGTGCAAATCCCCAGTCCCCGAATGGGTGCAAGGTGCTGTGCAAACCCCGGCGCGAAGGCGCTGCTGGGTGCAGAGCTGGGACACCCCTTAGCTCCAAAATGGGAGCTGTTGCAACGCGTTCGTATGGGCTTGCACCCACCAAGAGCACGCCAACATATTACCTCCCCGTTATATTAAGGGCAATTAATTACACTAATCGCTTTTAGTGGAGCAAACCCCGAAACGGCAACGCGGATGCAATTCAGAATGTTTTCTGCAGGAAACACCCGAGCACGTGCGGGGCCTCTGTGGGCATCAGATCTCAGACCGAGATGGGTTTTACACCCTCAAAAATCACTGTGGCGGCTTTGAGAGAAATGAAATTACAGAGACTTTTTAAAAATAAGCACATCCTTGAGGTTCAACAGCCGACAAGCTTGATCCCGTTGCAATCTTTTGATTGCACGTCTTCCTCGCAGACCTTGCGTCACCATCGTAGGGCGATGCTTTTCCAGTTCTCCTCGTTGCTGTTCCCACGTTTGTCTGTTTATTTTTTTATTACCACAGTCCATCGGCTGCAGAAAGCTGTTTGCCGCCGTCCTGTGCAGAAAGCAGCGTGCGTGAAAACACAGGGCTGGGGTCTGACAGCAGGAGTTTCAGGACGACCCTCCCACCTTTGCTGCATGACCTGGATGAGCCGATGGTTTCATCTTCTGCAAAAGGAAAGCGCAGTGCAGCAAGACAGGAGGAAAAATTTTGGACACGAGGAAAAATTTCTGTACTGAAAGAGTGGTTAAACATTGGACCAGGCTGCCCAGGGAAGTGGTGGAGTCCCCATCCCTGGAGGTATTTAAAAGACGTGTAGATGAGGCGCTTAGGGACATGGTTTAGTGGACATGGTGGTGTTGGGTCGATGGTTGGACTCGATGATCTTAGAGGTCTTTTCGAACCTCAATGATTCTATGATTCTAAGAGCCACGCGCCTTTATAATACCGGTTGTAAGGGTGAAAATCAGCCTAAACAGAGATGAGCACATCTCTCACGGGTGCAAAGGAGCACCCACCGTACTTACCAAAGCAATACACGGCGCATTGAGGCCCCAGAAAACTACGGCTTGGTCCCAACCTGGGAGATACTGAGGACCTCCCTAAATCTTTACTTATAATCACCCCTTTTAATCGCAGTGGACGTAACAGCAGGGACCATATCATCCTTGTGGACAAAGCAAGGCCTGTGTGTAGACACCTCTAGTTGTAATTTATTTTTTTTCCCCCCGAAGGCAGCTCTTTCACTCAGCCATCCCTATCAGCGAGGGCTCCAATCCCATCTGTAAAATGGGCTTCCACAATTTACCTGCAGTCAAGAATGATCTGCCGATCAAGGCAAAGACAAGCAAAAAAAAAAAAACCAAAACCAAACCCACCGAACCCCAAACCCTCAGGGTCCAAGGCTCAATAAGGGGTTGCAAAGCGTTGGATTAAAGAAACAATCCCGGCAGGAGTAATCCTGCTTTCCACTGCGCTCCCAGCAGCTGCAGTCGCTGCCTGCTGGGAATTGTTTTTTTTTCTCGGTGTAATTCAGCATTTGAGTGCGCGGATTTCGGAGGCGCCGGGATCGCTGGGTTTATCGGAGTTATGTTCCCGGTGGAAACGCCGGCAGTGCAGCCGTCCTGGTTAAAGACCCGATAGCTTCAAGTCCGGGGTCTTCTTCACGGGGTTAGACCAGGAGGTGGATGCAATTAGGCTGAAAATGGGCTTTATTGGGCTCAGTAATACAGAAAGAGAATAAAGAGAAAGTGCAGGCAGAGAGGGAGGGACGGAGGGATGGAGGTCGGGGGGCGGAGAGAAGGTGGAGGCAAGGCTGGAAAGGAGGGTGGGGTGGGATTTGGGGTGTGAATCCACCCTGGGAACGAGCATTAGGAGGCAGCCGTCGGCCAGCCTCACCACAGAAGTGGGTTTGGGGGGGG